TTTAACACCCTGCCAGGCAATTTTTAATGTTGGCTTATCCTTCACTTTACTGCCTGTGTTGAACCAGAAAGCCAGCCATAATAAGATTAAGGACTTTACCTTTTTTTCTTCTGAGTATTACATGAGTAATGGCCACACAGATGGCCTTGTATGTATAGAAACAAATTCTCAAAGCTCTCTTCACCCTCACACCATCGGCTTAGACTGTATTGTCATGCCCTGGATAACAACACTGGTTATTTTTTAAATATTAGCCCAAGAAAACCATCACGCAAGTGAACCAATCATAATGCCTTGAACTGATCTTCAGGGAGCCACCAAACAATCAACACACATAACCACAGTTATTTGAGGGTTAGGTTCTTATCTTCTGCTCTAATTCAAGTAAACTGTATGAGTAATATGAGCTGCTGCTCTTCAAATCCACACTTTGATCACTGCAGCCCCATAAAGAGTTTCAAAATCAGTACATGTATCACAACACTATTTTTATTTTTGGTTTTTCGAGACAGGGTTTATCTGTGGCTTTGGAGGCCATCCCAGAACTAGCTCTTGTAGACCAGGCTGGTCTCGGACTCACAGAAATCTGCCTGCCTCTGCCTCCCGCGTTCTGGGATTGAAGGCGTGAACCGCCACCACCTGGCCATGCACAACACTTTTTTTCCCCAAGAAATTATTTTTTATTAGTTCAAATTAGTAACAAGCCTGCTTCACAGGTCAATTCCCGCTCCCTCTCGCTTCCCTCCTCCCTTACCCCCCACCAACCCCTCACCCCATCCTCCCTCTGCTTCCCAGGGAGGGTAAGGCCCCAGGAGACACCCAAAGTCTGTCATATCATTCCAGGCAGGGCCTAGGTCCTCCCCCATGTGTCCAGGCTGAGAGAGCATCCCTTCACCTGGGATGGGCTCCCAATGCCCATTCATACGCCAGGAATAAATACTGATTCACTACCAGAGGCCCCATAGAGTGCTGAGGCCTCCTCACTGACATCCACGTTCAGGGGTCTGGATCAGTCCTATGCTGGCCTCCCAGACATCAGTCTGGGGTCCATGTGCTCCCCCTTGTTCAGGTCAGCTGTTTCTGTGGGATTCACCAGTCTGGTCTTGACCTCTTTGCTCATCTCTCCTCCCTCTATGCAACTGGATTCCAGGAGTTCAGTTCAGTGTTTAGCTGTGGGTGTCTGCCTCTGCTTCCATTGGCCACTGGATGAAGGCTCTAGGCTGGCATATAAGGCAGTCATCAGTCTCCTTATAGGGGAAGGGCATTTTGGGTAGCCTCTCCACTATTGCTTAGATTGCCAGTTGGTGTCATCCTTGTCGCTCTCTGGAAATCTCCCTAGTGCCAGATCTCTCCTCAAACCTATAATGGCTCCCTCTATTATGGTATCTCTCACCCTGATCTCCTCTATTCTTCCCCCAACTCAACCTTCCTGATCCCCCATTTTCTCCTCTCTCCTCCTCTCTTTCTCCCAACTCCCTTTCCCCTCCCCCCATGCTCCCAATTAGCTCAGGAGATCCTGTCACTATACATGCACAACACTTTTAAGCCTTTCAATTTCCCTGCAAATCTCACTTGTTTCTTTTCAGGACCTTGGCTGTTCCAGTGCATTCCTCCTTGGGGATCACTTGCCTAGCAGCCAGTAGCTCCTCTGTAGCATACTTTGGCTTCCCAGACACATGGCCATTGTTTGCAGCAACTGACCCAGACGCTGGAGATTCAAACTGCCTTGGGCTATTTGAGCTCTAATTTAGGCACCTTATTAATGCCTTAAGGAAGCACTATTTCGAGTTGATGACTTCTGGGAGAGGGAGAGTCAGTTTTCTGACTCCCTGGTGGGCACACCATCCCCAGTGGATGACTCACATCCATGCATATGTGGGCAGCACAAACTAGACTCTATGGGTTATTTTTTTTTAAATGAGGAGATTAAGTTGGAAGAGGGTGGCAGGCAGTGGATCTGCAAGGGGTTACAGAAAGGAATGGGGTAAATACAATCAAAATACATTGCATGCATATGTAAAATTCCCAAAGAATTAATAAAAATATTATTTTTAAAATGCAACAATTTTTAGAAATTGACTTGTTTTCTCCTGTATATCCTAGAAATGCTACCTTCTCACAGTCAATTTATTTTATGAAGCAATCAATATTATCATTTACGGGCTGGAGAGATGGCTCAGAGGTTAAGAGCACTGACTGTTCTTCCAGAGGCCCTGAGTTCAATTCCCAGCAACCACATGGTTGCTCACAACCATCCGTTCTGAGATCTGGTGCCCTCTTCTGGTGTGCAGATATACATGGAAGCAGAATGTTGTATACATAATAAATAAATAAAATCTTCAAAAAAATTATCAGTTACAAACTACCTATAATACTAATCAATACCAGCAGCCATCTTTAAAACATTTTATTAAATATTTTGGAATATTACTCCCTACCTTCTAAAGGTAAAAAAAATGCATTTCAACAGGTACATACCTGGTTATTTCCATTTGTTTGAAGAAATAAGAATGAAATGTGCATTGGTGTTTAAAAGCAAAGTATCTCACTGTTAAAGCTTCAAATATCTCAAAAGCTCAATAATTTTATGAATTACATATTATTTATGTTTGAGACAGTGTCTCATATATCTCATCCTGGCCTCAAACTCGATACCTACTTGGAGGATGACCTTGAACCTTTAAACTTCGATCTCAACCCCACACACACACACACATGCTGGAATTACAGACCTGTGACAAGCACAACTAACTGTAGACACACTAACAACATGGAGCTATTTCAATATTCTTGGGGAAGGTGGGTGATTAGTTTGGCTGCAGCTTAGTGTGGTCTTTCAAGCTTGCTTCTTGAATTTCTACATCTGAGAATTGATGGTTTCTGAGGAAGAAGCTATTTTCCAACATTTATTCAAAGATGGCACTAAGAACATAAAAATGTTTCTGTCTCCATTCCAGCTTCTCTTCATTACTTTAATGTGTGAAAGATGCTAGAATTTTTAAAGCCTCAAATTCCTTTAATATTTCACATCTGTCTGGTGCAGGAGGCTTTTTGACAAAATATCATGTTCTTGGAGATTTCTGTATTCATTTTATTTGAAGAACCTGTCTTTTGCACCCAAAATACACCCCCTCTATGGGCTTCAGCAATTCTATATCCTATTTCTTTGTAAAAATTTTCACCCTTTATGAAATTCATATCATATACCAGCAGTTTTGCCCACTGAGAATTCACATTGAAGCTAAAGAGACAGAACTGTAGTTAAGAACATTCATTGGCTGCTCTTGCAGAGGACCCAGGTTAGATACCCAAACACCCATGTAGCAGCTCACAATGACCTGGAACTCCAGTTCCAGGGCATCTAATGCTCTCATCAGGCCTCCACGGTCCCTGCACGCAAATAGTGTGCAGAAATACAAGCAATTGCAGCATCCACGCACATAAAATAAAAATAATTTTTAAAAGAAAGTTGACGTTGAGGCAGTTTGTATTGATTCTTTTCTTGGAATTTGGAGGTCTATGATTTAAGGAAAGTTTCGGTAGTAGAATAAGTCTTCTGTCAACTGGGGGAAGAGGTATGTCCATCCATTAATTTTCCTCCGACTTTAGTG